CTATATTTTGCCATTCAGATTTTTTTCAACTTAAGTATTTTTTTCTCGAGTAATTTTGGAGTTATATGTCCTTTTTTTATTTTAGAATAATATCCATTAAAATGAATAAGCCAGATAGATAAATGAATCCGTGAATATTAACATTAAAATTAAAACACACTTTTTTACTTTCCCTCTAATGGGAGATGCAGTAAAATTCTCTTGTCTTTATCAGTCCTTTCCATATATCCCCTCTGGCTATTATATTTATTTCAGTAGTGCTTGGTTCTTTCCAGTAATAAATACTAGCATATGTTACATTTCATAATGATGCCAGCAGCAGCCCAATATTTTTGTTTTTTACTTTGATCACTTGGGTAGCTAGAGTGTTTCCAGATGGATAAGTGGGTGTCCTATCACCACCAGGGACCATCTACCTTATCTTGCTTATCTTAGTCCACTTGTGCTACTGTACCAAAATACCTTAGACTCGATAACTTACAAGCAACAAAAACTTATTACTTACAGTTATGGAGGCTAAAAACATCTTAAGAATCTATCAAAGCTGACAGGTTTGATGTTTGTTAAGGGGCCTGGGTGGTACCTTCTCTGTGTTTTCACATGGTGGAAGGGCAAAGAGAAGATAAACTCATTCCCTCAAGCCCCTTTTTAAGATTACTAACCTTATCCATGAGGGCAGACTCCTTATGGTCTAACCACCTTCCAAAGACCATAAGCTTACCACTATTACCATGAAGGTTAGGTTTCATCATGAATTAACTCAAGCCATAACATCTCTTTTTCAAATTTTGATTCTGACACCATGTCCACCATGTACTCCAAGAAGGCTTTCATACTTGTGAGTTTCACCATCTTTTATATACTAAATTTACCACTTAAAAATACAGCTCTTTCCTATAACATGAGTTTTTATCATTTCAGCAGAGTGTTGATCTGTTTTTTATAGATGGCTTTGGTCAAAACAGAATAGCAGACTCTAGTGTTACACATAGAGAGCAGTATTGTGCTGCTTTTATTCTAGCAATGGAGAGATGCTGGAGCAACTCAGGGATTCTGCACTGTTACTGAAGATAAAATAGGATTTTAAGCAAAATGTAGGTTTAATGAAATCATTCAATAAATGATTTGATTTTGTGACTAAGCCTTCATTGAGTAAGCACATATGTATTCCATATTGTCTTGCATGCCAGTGGAGGGGTAGCTTTCTAGACAGTTTAAAATTCTGTATTGCTAGGAGACCCTTTGAGATGCTGTTGTGGTCCAGCTTGTGAGGACTTAGGGTTCTTTTGGAATGCTACTATTTTGTGTTACTATTTATGTCTTTGTGGAATTCCATCAAGGTAGAGACTCTTTTAACTTTTTATTTCATCTCTAGCTTCTAGCACATTATTTGGTTATAGTATAATATAGTTCATGTTAGGTGAGAATCAATAGTGAGTAAATGAGTCTTCTGTCTCTTACTCTTGCTTATTTTGAACACTTATTATCTTCTTCCACTTGACTTTTAAACATACTACATTTTACAGGTAGAAAGATAAGGATCTAGTTTCAGTCCTCTACATGTAGCTACCCAGGTTTTCCAACATCAGTTATTGGAGAGGCTGTCTTTTCTCCAATGCGGTTTTGAACATTTTTGTAAAAACAAACAGGTGGCTATAGATGTGTGGGTTTATATCTGGGTCTTCTGTTCTGTTCCATTAATCTACATGTCTCTTTATGTGTCAGTAGTGTGCTGTTGTTAGTAGTATTGCTCTGTAGTATAACTAGAAAATCTGGTATGGTGATGCCTCCAGCATTATTCTTATTGTTCAGAAGTGTTTTGAGTATCTGGGATCTTTTATGTTTCCATATGAAATTCCTTATTACATTTTATTTATTTTGTGTTCCACTGTGTGCGTACATGTGTTATCCACAGCATGTGTGTGGAGATCAGAGAACAACTTGGAGGAGTTGGTTCACTTCTTCCATCTTGTGGGTCCCAGGGATCAAACTCAGATCGTCAGGCCTGGAGGCAGACACTTTTACCGGATGAGCCATCTTACCAGTCTTACATAAGAATTTAAAGATTTACATAAACACAGAAGGCTCAACTGGCCAAAATGTAGAGAATAAGAGACGGCAGAGTGTGTGTCCCTGGATAGGACTCCTACATTCAACCTCACCCACCTAGGGCTCAGGGACTGTTGCAGAAGAGGGGGCTGAAAGACTAGAAGAGCCAGGGATGGTGGATGACCACAGGGAAACAAAGTTTTCCAGGTGTCTGGGAACTTCCTCATATGAACTTACAGCAATGGTGATAGCATGCACAGGACCCATGCAAGCTCAAACAAAAACATAGCATAGGACCAGGAAAATGGGTCAGCAGCTCCAACCTTAGCTGAAGAACTATTGGCAACTGATCACTGCTGAGTGAAGGAGTGTAGGCCTTCTTTAATGGCGTGACATTAGATAGGCTGACCATACTCCAGTAGATAAACTCACACTGAGGGATATCTGGGGACTTAAGCTTGTCTCAGTAGATCTTAACATATATGATAGAATGCATGAAAGTCAGTGGGGTGGCTGTAGAGAGTGCAGATAGGAGAAGAGGTCTAAATGTGATTAAGATGTACTGTATGAAATGCACAAAAATTCAATTAAAATAGATTTTTAAAAAAGATTTCTATAAAGAATGGTACTGGAATTTAATATATTAAAATTTGTTTGTTTGTTGAGACAGGATTTCCCTGCAACCCCAGCTGGCTTGGAACTCACTGTATTCCAAGCTGGCCCCCATCTCACAGAGATCCACTTGCTTCAGCCTCCAGAGTGCTGGGATTAAAGGTGTACTCCACCATCCCTGACTCTGGCACTGGAATTTTGATAGGGATTACATTGAATCTTTGATTGCTCTTGATGGGTACAGTCATTTTCACAATATCATTTCTTATTCATGAGCATGGAAGGTCTTTGTATCATTCCTCAATTTTCTTCATCAGTATTTTAAAGGTTTCAATGGAGAGGTGTTGCACTTTCTTGGTTAGGTTCATTGCAAGGTATTTTATTGGTTTTGAAGTTATTGTGAATGGAGTTGTTGCCCAAATTTCTTGCTCAGTATTTTTATCATTGGTATATAGGAAGGCTACTGATTTCTTAATGTTAATTTTGTATCCAGCCATTTTGCTGACAATGTTTATAAGCAGTAGGAGTTTTTTGCTGGAGTCTATAGGGTTACTCAATATAGACTCACATCATCAGGAAATAAGAATACTTTGATTTCTTCTAATTGATTCTTTTTTTATTTCTTTATCTTGTCTTATTTCTATAGCTAAGGCTTCAAGAACTGTACTGAATAGGAGTGGGTACAGTGGACTCCCTTGTCTTGTTCCTGAGCATAATTAGAATGATTCAGATTTTTCTCCATTTAGCATAATGTTTGCTGTAGGTTTGTCACATGTAGTCTCTCTTATATTCAGCTGTTTCCTCCATATCTTCTTTCTTCAGGGTTTTTATCATGAAGGACTATTGGATTTGCCAAAGACAAATGAAATGATTATATGATTTTCCCCCCTTGAGTCTGTTTTTGTGATGTATTATATGTACTGATTTGTGTAAATTGTGAAAATACCCCTGAACCTCTGGAAAGATGCCAGCTTGATCATGAGGAAAGATCTTTTTGATGTGTTCTTGAATTTGGGTTGCAAATACTGAGAATCTGTGCGTCTGTGTTCATTAAGGCGATTGGTCTGTAGCCTTTGTTTCATTTTGATTTATTTTGTTTTGTTTTGGTTTTGGTAGCAGGGCAATACCAGCTTCATAAAATGAGTTTGCAATTGACTC